AACAGTCTGGTCGGTGGTGTCTACGGAGACCAGTGAACATTCGGCCGATTGCTCTAAATGATTTCACTAGTTGATACGTTTCAATAAAAAACAAGATATGCAGAGTCAAATTAAATCCATAGGTCAAGTCAGTCGACTAATAAATCGACGTATGTACGGCGGTGGGAGAGTGCCATACTGATTAAGCAATTCGCCGAATGTTTAGTTCGAAGGAAATTGTGTAGCCTATCAAACTTATTAATCGGCCGATATCAAATCGTTATAAAATGCGCTCTTGCGTAAATCTTTATGCTAATTTAAAAGGAGACAAAACTATCGGCCGATAAAAATTCTAAAGTTTACGAGATTAAATTATTTGATGAGATTACAAAAGAAGCGCAACATTAGTTTCAAAACATAAAAAATTAATAAAAATTTAACAATATTTATCACAAATTTTCACATATAATCTGCAATTACAAAGTATAAAAATACACTGTCTAAACTATTCTTAATAGTAGTTACACGATTTATTCACAAATATTTTAAAATTCAACATATATAATAACATTAAAAGGTAATTTCAATAATCTCCAAATTAAAATAATGTATTTTAGTACATGTACCTATTTACAATTTAAAACACAAAAATATTATTTAATATTTTAAGAAAATATTAAAATTTTACAAAAAATATAATTTGTAATATACTACATTTTATAAACGAATTTTAAAAAATAACATACAATAAAAATTATTTGATGAAATTTTAAATTTTTTATACGATTCATCATTAATGTCATTCAACAATTTAAACGAACACAGAATACTACAAGTTACCAATACCTAATTACACTGAAAATATATAAACACTAGTGTTGTACGTATATACAAACCAATTCAAAGGGTAACCCTAACAAAAATTTAAAAAAAAATTAATTGTCAAGCTTATCCGTGGTTTAACTGATACATTCAGATAAATGATGGTATTTATGAATATCTGTGTATTTCAACTTTCACGCATATGTTGATATTATGTACTTAGAAAGGTACAATATATCAAACTTAGATTAAGAGACATTTAATGACTAAACGCAAAACATGGTAAATAAATATTCGTGAGATCATTGATTCATTTTCACGTAAGCGTATATAGTTCTCGAGTGATGTAATGAAACGAAAGTGACAAAAAGTGCGGTACTCATATGTATAATATTTCACATGATTGGGAGAGGCAAGTTTTTTGAAAATAGAATTGAGTACTACCGTTCAAAGAAAAAATAACATTCCATTGTACTGCAGTATCGAATTTAAAGGTTAAACCCATAAGGTTAGACGCTTGAAGGATAACTACAAAAAATTTATGATCAGTCAAATTACTTTTTTTTTAAATAATATTAATGGTAAGATAGCTTAAATTTATTAGTTCTACAGTAACACTTTTTATAACAAGCATGATACATTTTTATTTACACAGGGTTCCAAATTATGCCACATGAAAGAACAAAAAGGTTATAGAGTAATTGGTTAGATCAGAAAATAGCCCCTTTGACTAAACGGATCATATTTTTTTATATAATTTTCAAATTTGAAGATAAAATTTAAAACATTAAAAATAATGTCAAATGTTGATAAAATAGGTAACTGTATGCTTTAATTATTAAACTACTTGGAATATTTGGTTCAGAGTCAGGTTTTTAATCGATAAAGGAGTTTTGAAGTTTGAGACATGATAAAATTTCTAAAAACTGACGATATTTTGTAAATCTTTTTTTCGCAACAATCACACTTTCGAATTTAAAATAAATATTTAAAGTATTTTGAAGTTTGCAAACTAACTGCACTGATGGTCGTCCGAAAACGAAAAGATCATGCGGACGCGGCGGCGGAGGGTCAGCGGTAAGGGAAACAACAACAACGACTTTGAGCCGAATTATCTTGGAAAAGCGACCCCGAATGTAACCTCCCGGAGCGCACACGACGCTCAGCAGTGTATGCATGCTAACGCGTAACGACGACGGTGGTGGTTCACGATAAAGCGCAAAGTTTCCGCACGGGACGTCCAACTTTAACGGGACCCACTACTCCCCCCCCCCAACCCACCAACCACCCGCAGCCAAAAAGGCCATTATATAACGTAAGCGCGTTGTGCCGTACACGCATACACTCACAACGCACGTGAATAAGTGTACCATGGCAGATGACCATCATATACACGAGGGTCCGCCTCCGCACGTACAACACAGCGTGCGTGGCAAGACGATCCATCGAAATCGCGTCCGACCACTGCCAGCCCCCGACCAGTCGTGGACGGGTCTGCACACAACAACCACCGTGACGATGAAATTAAAGCTAACCGGCCGTATGATGTCGTGCGTCGCGATGGCGTTAACTTTCGAGTGTATAGCAACACAACCAACCCCTTACCACCAACTTACCCGTTCACCCGCTCATATAGTCGATGTAACAACAGCGGCGGCGTAAGCCAACAACACCTAAATATACATAAATAACCTAAAGACATTCAGGGCAACCGTTGTCTGTTCTCCGTGTCTTTTACCACCACCACTAAGCCACATAACAGATAACCAACCGACATACGCGTCGTGTATATGATAGGTAGGTAAAAGCTCTGAATCTTACTGCGACGTCACATATTGTTTTTATTTTTACCCCATGTCTCCGAGAAAAAGCTTTTAAGGTAGACCGGGGAAAAAATATAAATAAATAAAACACTGAAAGTTTCGTACCGAAAATAAGACTTGATTGGACGCACATGATTCGTCCCTGCCGGTACAACAAAATGCAAAAGCCAACCGAATCGACGATAAAATAATTATGGTTAATTCATCATAACTAGGGCTCGGGACTTATAGGAACTTGCATGTTTTTAAATAATTATCAAAAACATAGCTAAGTAATATATAAATTTGTTTTATAGCAATACAAGTTTATATTTAAAATTTATAGTTGCATATTTTGCATATTTGACAATTTTTCATTTATAAGTGCATATTTGACCATTTTTCATTTTATAAATGCATATTTGACAATTATTCATATGAAGGAGTAAGTTTTTTAATTTTATAAAAAAAAATTATGATTTATTTCTTCATATATCACGTGACTTGGAACTCAAGGTGTCTTATTGGTGCACTAAATGAATGCATTAAAATAATTAAAACTACAAAAAACGTATACATTCTGCAAAAATTGAAGAATCTGCACAAGCTAAGGCTAACAACGAAAAATATCGAAAATTTTAAATGGAAAAATGAATCTATGGATGGATTGCTTGCAGATATTAGTAGTAGTGTCCAACGATTTTTTAAGTTTGCACCAATAAGTTCAGTAGACGTGTAACGTTCCTTTTCTAAATATAAAATTATTTTGGCTGATAACAGGCAGTCATTTAAATTTTCCAACTTAAGAAAATATCTTATAGTCTAATGTAATACTCAAGGTTAGAAGAATTATAACTATATTAAAAATAAAAAAAATGTTTTCAATTTAATTTATTTTTAAAACCATTTTAAGTATTTTGTTTTAGATAAAAACTCAATATAAGATGAAAAAAAATTTGAATAAAAGAAAAAATTATCTTTGATCATCATATATATCATATAAAAAAATATTATTATAATTTATTACTAGTTAAATTTTTTTATTTAATTAATTATTACAAATATAATTTTTTTAAATAAATATTTTAATAGCATATTTATTGATTCTTTAGGGCATAAATGCATACATATTTTAAGATTTTTAAGGGCATGAAGTCCCTAGCCCTAGTCATAACGTTTTGCCAAACAAAAAACAGAAATGATAAACTTACAGTATTAATTCCTATATAATTCAATATTTACAGTCTTATCCAATGTTTTTTTAACGTTCGTGTTAAAAGAACTCGACTTAATCATTGAGTTACCAACAAAGACTGACCCGAAAAGAGAATTAAAGACTTAACAAAATATGCAACTAATGATAAATTTAGAATATAATATTATAACTTAAAACTTATAATAATGTCATAGGTTAATGGATAAATATTGGAAATTATTTAATGCATTGAATATAGTAAAATATTAATAAATCACTACTTAAAATTTGGTTATAACAAGAAAAACTTATTATGGATAAGGGCAATTCACTGTAGAAATTAACTGGTTAAAGACTAATTTTATTTAATCTAAATTATAAATTATTTGAGTCAAATTATGCATTAGAGAGAAACAAAAAATTTCTTAGAAAAAAAATTAAAATAACCTAACATCAATTATCAACAATTATCAACATTTATAATTAAAATGTATGTTATTTAATAAGTGTTTACGTGTCAAAATTTTACTATTCCTATTGTATATCAATAGAAAATAATGTCAACAAAACTATGTTAATTTCATAAAACTATTTTATAAGATGATCAAATTATCACTATAAAATTACTCCTATTTAAATAATCACATTTAAGAATATGTAATAAGTTAAATAGCAGTAATTTCTACCTTTTATCACTCATATAAGTGGACAATTAAAATATTATAAAAGCATGAACATAAATCACTTGACGCATTAAACACAAAAGATAAAAGCTAAAAAGTACTAAAAACAACAACATAACAAGACATAAAGATAATTTATACATTTTTACAGAATTCAAAAAAATAAATCTACAATAAAATTCTTATTATTTTAGAATTGATGTACTGACAATATTTATATGATTTAAAATGTAATTTCAGGCCCTTTTAATACAATAACGGAAATTTGCAATTTGTGCTGCGCTCTATTGGTTATTTTCCAAAACATTTACACACAATACTTGAATAATAAGAACAAAGAATGTGGCGCTTCATAAATAATAAAATTACACAGCATGAGGCCAACTATTTAGCCAAATGTTACCAAGCATGTTCTCCCTTATATATAATTAAAATAGAGTGTGAATTATTAATTATAAACAGACAACTCAACAGATGTAATCAATTTCACAAACTGACTTGACAATATTATTGTTTCAGATACAAATGCAGATCATTAATAGAAAATAGCGTGGGAACCAATTGTTAAAACGTATTATCTTGATTAAATTATTAGCCTTTAATGATAAAATTTAACAGTTTGCTTTAATAAAACATTTTATTTTCAATGCCACTCATAAATAAACATAAGTTTCATAAGTTAAAACTATTTATTATCTACTGTCACATTTTGTGATTACTATTATATACTATTAATAATATATACTCAAGATTAACATAAAATAATATTTTCAATCATTTTTACTAAATTAGATGACAACTATAAATAACTGTATTACATTGTTTAACTTCTTTCTATATACCAATTTACCATGACCATATATTTTTAAATAAAAATATTTCATACATTTGTATGGTTTGCTATCGTGGGTTCTTTTTTAAATTTTATGTAGAATATTTTTATATTAACCACAACTCATGCTTACCAAATGAAGAATTTTCTTGAAAATAAGTGAAACACACTTAAACAAAATCAAAGAAATTTAAGACATCTGAAACAAAATAAGTAAAATAATTTCTTATTAGTTAGTTACCAGTAAGTAGTAAATTATCAATTGAAAATAAAAATGTAATTATAAAATATATCTAATAATTAAATCACAAATAGTAAATATTAACTATACACAAATAATTATATGTACTATTTAATAATGAACCTAAAATGATCAGAAAAATTAATAAAAATAAATATTCCAAGCATTATGTAAGTGTCAATATTAAACAACAATTTTATAATTACAATAAATCATTCTTTAACATCCAAATTTAGATAAGAATTGCCTTTGTTAAATAAGTTATCAAGTATTACACAAAAATTAAAGTCATTTACGGACATTTAGGGTAGAATATTAATGAAATTTTTTGTACGCATCACACTGACAAATGACACGACAAGTTAATTGAGAAAGTTTTACAATTAAAAACTTATAAAAAAAATTATCATAATTTTAGTTGTTGAAATTGTAAAAATAAACAATGATATGATATATAAAACACAGAGGTGGAACTAGGAATTTTTACACTCTGGGAAAATGTTAAAATTACGCCCGATTATAGACCAATAATCAAATACTATTCACTAAATATTTCTAATAATTAATATACAATCATACTTATTGAGTTTTAACCTAATATCAGTATTTAACAAAGTTAAAAATATCAAATTAATTGTGAATAATAACAAAAATTACACCCTCTAAAATTTTATGCTCAGGGATGAATCCCCGTCTTCCACCCCTAAAAATAAATTATCATATATTATAAAATTTAAATATTTTTAAATGTTTGGTTGAAGAGAAATTGTAAACCTAACGTAAATACATTCATCAGAAGTAAGCAACTCGAATGGGCTGGGCACTTAAGGAAAGAAAATGGCATTTGCAGGCAAATTCTGATGGGCAGAATCAATGGCAGAAGACCCAGAGGCCACCCTAGGCATAGATGGATACACACCATTTAAAATCAGATCTGGCAAGGATTGCACCAGGAACAGAGCTAGCAAGAAGTAAAAATAGAGAGAAATGGCAAGAAATAGTGGAAGCAGGGAAGGCCCTCAACGGGCTGTAAAAGCTAAAAAAAAAAAAGAGAGAAATCATTTAGGTATAAAGATTTTTTATTAAGTATAAACGAAAGTAGGACTAGTTGTCAAGTATCATTAGATATCTTCAAATAACTAGTACTAAAAATTGTTAATTCACTTTAAATGACTAATTAATATTAGTTAAGTAGTAAAGTAAATATAATATCATAATTTAATTTTATTATTGACTTAAGAAATGTTTTACAGAAAAAAATAAATTGTTTTTATTCATAGATATATTTGTTTGTTTAATAACTATAGTATTTATAAAGTAACAAGAATTTATTAATTTAATATAATTTAAAAATAAATACCTGTAAAATACATAAAATAAAAACTATGATAACAGTAATTATTAATTATAAGAATTCATTGTATATCAATAACATCCTGACATTATTGTATACCCAGTTATAATATTTTACAACTTTTACTGTAAGACTAGATAAACAACCTACATAAGGTTATAAAAAAAATATAGCAATAACTAATATTAAATATATATATATAAACTTAAAAATAATAATTGAAACACATTTAAAGTATTGGAGTAAATGTCCTATGGATAAGAAAAGAAAATATTATTTAGCCTGCATATTTTTTTTATGACGTTTCTCTAACAATATATCCAATGATGTACATATCATGTACGTCTAATGGTGAATATGATGATATATCTATCAAAATGTTGGTCCTCAAAATGAATATTACACAAATAAAATAGAAAAAACAAATAAGACCACTAGAAATATAATCATTTCAAAGTCAATTTCAATATGAACAATAGTAAAGACCAATGTGTTGGTAGAACTTAAATGTTGAATTCATGGAATCGGTGGAAATTAGCAAGAATGCTAAAGGTATAATAAATCTTCAATACTGTCCTTAAAACTTGCGAAAGGTAAGTCGCAAATTAGTCACAATAAATATGGACAAGGGGAACAACAATCTACCACAATCTCTTGATGTTATCAGCCTCGCCCAACATGTTTACCGAATTAGTTTTGAGTTAAAGAACAGGGTACACCCTAAAAGGATTAAGTCTAGTGACTATTCAACACCTCTATAGACACCAACAGCGCCGTCAAAATGACAAATGGACGAAAATCAATAGCGAACAGCACCTCAGTTGGTTGAGTTTAGCTGACGTTTTACGCACCGCCGGCACTGTCGACGGGGACACGAAACAGGAGGTGAAGGGGAGAAGGTGAATTTGTGTATACGAAGAATAAATAAACTCTTTCTTACCTCGTTTTCTTCGACACGGCTGCGATTTGTGCGTACCTTTGTACACTTCCGGCCAGCACAGAAGACACAAACGACGAGAACGAGCGTATCCTAAAAAGTTTAGAGTTATTGTTTTCTGTTACGCGTCCTGAGTACTTTCGGGGACGTTGGGAAAAAACCGATAACTTTGTTTACGATAAAGAACGGAAGGGACATAAGGGTGACAGGGTAGAATACACACACACACTAGCACACACGGCGCTCACGCACCCTGATACGAACAGTCTGATATACGAGCACACGCGCAACGAAAACGCACACAGACACAAACGATACGATAACACGATGACGACGGCACCTAGCGGACTTATTGACTGTCGTCGCCGTCGCCTTTGCCGCCGACGAGGAATAGTGATAATCAACGAGCACAGTGCTGCCAATGCAAACTACCCACTCGTCCACTCGACACACTACACTGTCACGCGAATTTTATAGACTTCCAGTTTTCCGCCCATCGCGATTGTACGACACGTTTCACGCGTACTATACGCGTCTACACTCGATAATATTCGTAAAAAACAAATAAAGTTTTTTTTTTTTTTTGCTGTTATACGACCGTGTTGGTTTTGCCGACACCGAGGGATATGGTGTACGTGAGCCTACTATCTCGTGCACCTGTTCGCATATTAATATATTTTTATTACACCCTTGCTTCGGTTCTTTCCAGTGTTAACAACGAATAATAATTATTGAGATGAAACACTCCACTGTTTTACAGAATCGCTTTGAAAATTACCGAACGGTCAAAAATCGATTATTTAAAAAACCGTAATCTACCTACTGTTTAATATTAGAACCTTGTTAGCGTCTTATAATATCGAGCTGATAGTATTGATACTCACAAAAAACGAAGGTACCATTAAATGATAAAATCAGGTTCGGTGAATTACGTCCCATAAATAAAATGTTAATATACAGCTAGGTGAATTGCGGCTTGGGTATTTTTTTTTAAGCAGGTGAATTGCGTCCCCTCTAATCGTTCTCCTAAAGTTTTAAAACAATACAATTTCAAATCAAGTCAATTTTTAAAGTATATTTTTGGGTTGCCTTTCATACATCCAGTATAAGAATGCTTTCAAAATGATTTACCATCCATTTCACTTATTTGAAGATGAACAAATAAATTAAATCATAAAATACCTATTGAAAACTTGCATTACAACAGATGCAAATTTTCCTCAAAAACGTTGGTCTGAATTTGCACCAACGAAAAAATCGGACAACCAATATTTGTAAGGCCCTCCACTCTAAATTAAATTATTTATTTATCGCTAGTCATCCGAATATTTACAACTTTATGGATATTTTAAAAAATATTGAGTCTGAAACATACATAAAAATACAAAGAAATGGACAAAGAAAATCCCGTCAAATCATAAAAAAAGAAAATTATATTCAAGAAAAAATGATTGAATATAAAAATAAATTATTGACCACATTCAAATATGTCAAAGCCGTTTCCTTTAAATTTTTACCTGTTTAAAGTATATAATACACTATTATAATTTTAATATGAACTAAATTATATTATACTATTATGATTATTTTTACATAAATGGTTAACGAATAATTGAGTAATTTTAATATATATATATGTGTAATTAAATCACAACAGTACCGCCTATTTTTATGAGAACGGGACGTAATTTACATAACGCCTAATTTTTTTTTCCACAATTTGAAAGGGTTTTGCTTTATCCATTACTTCGTATTAATTTTTGTAAATGATTTTGAAAGCAATCTTGTACCTCAACTAGATGTAAGAAAGACAACCCAAAAATATACTTTAAAAATTGACTTGATTTGAAATTGTATAGTTTTCAAACTATTTGAGAATGATTAGAGGGGACGCAATTCACCGAACACCGATAAAATATTTATATTGTTAGCAAGGTAATGTACATAAAATTACAAATGTGCATCAAAGAACGTAATTTTTTCAATGCATAAATAATTATGCAATTGCCCAGGTGGGTTATATTGTGGTAAAACTAAGAAAACGGTTAGCCGATTTTAACATTTGTCATTATATGCTAGTTATAAATATTCAATTTGAAATCAATTTCATTTTAAAAAGGATTTACAACATGAAAATAATACGTGACTAATATTTTTATTAATTATCTAAATTTTTATTCGTTCATTACTCACTACGATCTTTAACTACTTAATGTAATTTTCGTTGAAATACTAGCTTAGTAGGTAACCTAAATCAAATGGTAAGTAACTAGATCGCAAAATAAAGAAAATAGTCCATTTTTGGTTTGGAAAATATCGGTTGTATACTATTTATCATTTCTTAAAAATACATATATATATATTGGATGTATAAAAAAACATTAATGTAAAATCATTTTTTAGTATAAAATTAAAAATATTAATAAAAAAAAATATATTGATATGAAATAATATTAGTATAAAATTTAAAATATTAATAAAAAAATATATTGGAATGAAATAAATTACGAATATAAAATTGTTAGGCTAGATATAAAATTAAAAATTATTCTAATCGGTCTACTCGATATCTGGAGTCTGATAAAATCTAATAAGTTGTGTTATACGAATATAATATACAGATATAGCTGATAAAACTATTGCTAACATTATGCTAATACGATTCACTCAATTATTGGACCCATATAGTTATTATAACATATAACATAAAGTTGATTAGTTATTGATAAATATCACACATTTTAGTTAACATATCGATAGTTATGGCATAGCTGACTTGCTTCTCGATATCGGGACAAATGTATTGCCTGCTTATTACACCTTTTTATGGAACACAAATAGTATACAGCCAATACCTAGAATCCATTGAGTTTTGGCACTTGTAACTTTTTTATTATAAATTCTAAATTCTAATTAATTATAAAATATAATACCATTTTTTTACAATTTAAATAATTACAAAAAATTATATTAGAAATAACATAGAAGAATATATTAATATAAATAAATTATGACGATTATTAAAATTTTATTGATTCAATATTTTTATTTTAAAACTTAAAAATACAGCAAAGCAATATTTGTTTCTACTTCGAAATACTTTTAAATAACAATATCCAAATTGAATATTTATACGACAGACTTGCGTATAAGTATTTTAAGTTTATGAAAAATATCTCGCTTTGAAGTCAAATAATTTGAAATTTTTAAAAATTTAAACAAAAATTATTATACATTTTTATCGTATTAGCCATGCCATAACCATATCATGTTTAAAATAATTTTTGCAAAGTTTGTGAAGCAGACGTATCGTCCAATATAATATATATTCAAGGTATATAACATAAATTTTCTTAAAATACATCGAGTAAAATATATTTAATATAATATTTAGCTCTCAAAAACAAATGTTTTTTTTAAATTCCATAAGTTTATCGAAAATCATGTTGAACGGTTATCGCCGACTCGCACTTATTGAAACGTAGGACCCAAAACACTTTCTGTTGCGGAGTCGCCATAACGAAACAAACTAACGGTTCCTAGTTCACTAACCATTACGGTGCCAAATTTATCAACTAGATAACTTAAAATAAACTTAGTTATCTAATCTTTCCATTAATACATTAGTCATTAACCTGCGATTAACCGTTGCCGAACTATATCAGTTGGTAATCGGATGAAGACTTTTGAAACACCATGTATATTAATAAACATATTTGAATATTTTTAAATATTTCGACACGGATAGAAGCTTTTAGAAATATCCCTAATTGAAGATATTAACTCGTCAAATTTTGTAAATTTTGATCTTATAGTTTCTGCTATTCGGTGAAATACGTATGCTAAACACGTTAAGTGGGTCATATTTGGGAAAAAAGCATTTAATGCTTTACCGGCTTTTACCATGTATGGTACTTTTTTTAGATACTTTTTTTTTTTTTTTAAAAAAAAGAATATGACTTTATTGAGAAATTACAATCTATACAAGGGTGTACAATGGGTAATAGTTGTGGTGGGTGAAAAACTATGAACTAAGATAACATGGTAGGAAATCTCACAATAGAGACACCTAGTGGCTTTACATTAACAATTAAAATTTATAATTATTTGTTTTAAAATTTATACAATTTTTAGGTCTCGGCACCAGTTCCGCTTGAGTCTTCTTGTTGGATTTCCAGGTAGTGTGAGTATGGCGAGGTCCCTGATGAGCAGATTGGAGTTGGATTGAAGATTAGCATGGAAGCGTTTGTAGTATATAGTAGCAGTTTCGTTGACAAAACAGATTTTTAGGTCAGAGTTTAATGCATTGTTAGAGATATACCAGGGTGCTCCAGTAATTAGATGACAACAGATATTCTGGAAGGCTTGGATAGTTCTCTTGTTTGATTTTTTCGCGGAGCCCCATAGACCCCATACACCCAGAGTGGTTGTAGAAGAGTTTTATATAATATAAGTTTGAGGTGTAATGCAAAATCTGAGCGGAGGAGTGATCTTAGAAGGTGAAGTCTTGAGTTAAGCTTTTTGCGTTTGTCTTTGAGGTGAGATGACCATGTTAGACGTCTGTCGAATATTAAGCCAAGGTATTTCACTTTATTGGAGTGAGGGATAACGGTGTTATTTATTGTTATAGGAGGGCAGTTATGAGGCCTGAGTGCAAATGTGACGAAGGAAGACTTTGATTCGTTGATTTTAATTTTCCACTTAGAGAACCATTGAGAAAGTGTGTCAATGTGTGATTGTAGTTGAAGGCTTGCAGTGATATGATCAGCAGCTGTGGATAAAAGTGCAGTATCGTCTGCGTAAGTTCCAATGGTTGTTTCATCAGAGGTAGGTAGATCAGACGTGTAAATGATGTACAGAAAAGAAGCTAAGTCGCTGCCTTGCGGGACCCCTGCAGCAATGGGGAATTGTTTAGAATGTTGTAAGTTGTAGCGAACTTTGAATGTGCGGTTTTCCAAGTACGATTTTAAAAGGAGATAATAAGGGGTTGGAAATAAAGTTTTTAATTTGAAGAGTAGTCCCTCATGCCAGACGGTATCGAAAGCTTTGGCTACATCCAAAAATACTTCAGCACAGTATTTTTTTGTTTCCAAAGCAGTTGAGATTGTGTCGGCGACTCGATGAGCTGGTGGATTGTGGAATGATTTGTACGAAAACCAAATTGTAAGTTGGGCAAGTTTTGGTTTTTATTGGTTATGAATGTGAGACGCTTTAGTAATATTTTTCCAGGATTTTACCAAGAACCGGTAAAAGACTAATGGGTCGGTATGGGGATGGGTTTTCCGGTGGTTTGCCAGGTTTAAGTATTGTTACAATAACCGAGGATTTCCAAGTGGTTGGA